TCCTGTTACTGTAGATTGGATGAAAATTTATCAATGCTGTCTGATTTTGGAATAGAGTTGACCCGTCACATATGGTCTGATATGCCCTAGGTGCTCTATACCATCAAGCATGGCCATTTTTCATACTGTGTTTCTGGATGTGCGAGTGCTGCTTTTAAGCCTTACTTGGCAACACATATCTTCCCCATAAGTGAAGAGTATACTCTGGTACAGAAGGGGTGCAATCTCCCACGGGTGTGCCCCTACATTTTAATGGTATGGGATGTCATGTTTTGTGCATTCTCTTTGGGTACTTTCTGAAGGAGGCTCATCTAGGTAACTTTTGCTCTGGTCCCTCTACCGCTTCAGTGTGGGATTATAGCTAAGGTACCATATCAGAAGTTAACATTTTCCAAGACTAACTGTATTTTTGGTAGATAGTTACTTCTACTTGGATTTCCCACATGTCCTCCCCACTTCTGGTGCATCTTTTCTTGCGTAATCTTGAAATGGTGATTGAAAAATCAGTATTGAGTGTGTCACACTCCTATAGGTAGAGGGTTGTTGCAAGTTCATTTGCATGCTATAGCATAGCAATATGTTGTAGAAACATGCGAGTTTAGGTGAGAGCCTCAAGATTATTGGCAAGTGAAAAATTGTGCATATAGAAGGCAGCACAAAATTGAGGTAAGCTAATATGTGAGAAGAGGTAAGTATCATTGGAATTACATTTTCAGTGTTGCAAAATGTTAACTTTCCTAAAAGCCTTAATGTAAGTCAAGAATCAGTCTGGTAGCCTGTCTCTGCATGCATTTTTTCAAACTTGTTATCCTTCCAGTAATAGGGGATCGTAACTCCCAGATCAGGCCTCTCTAGGTTATTTTACAAGTCAACAATAAATGTGTTGTTTCTAACTTCAAAATTACTATAAATTAAACTAAGAACTCTATTTTTTACATTACAACAAAGTAGTCAACAGAGGGTTTAAGGGATTTTATTGATAATTGCACTTCTAAATTTATAGGTTTACAATAGTTTTAAAGGTACAATAATATTAATTGATTCAAATATATTGTTACGTCTCTGTTTGTTAATTTCTAAGTATTTCCAGTGGTTGTCCGTTCAAGCTCGTTGCCAGATATACTGCTTTCTGCTCCTCTGTCCATCCATTACATTTCTGCCAGTAGCTCAAATTGTGCTCTATATGCTTCCCACGGTGCCTTCCCATCGAATTCCT